GGGCTGTGGAGACAGGGCGGGGGGCGGGGGGGGCTGGGTTAGGGGTGGGTCTGGGTTGGGGTCTGGGGAGAGGGAGAGGGTTCTGGGTCAGGAGCTGGGTTCTGAGGACGGAAGGGTCTATGGTTCAGTAGGGGTGTGGGGAGGGTCTGGGTGGGGGTCTTCAAGATCAATGACGAGGTGGGGTGAAGGGGGTACTTCTATGGGGGTGCGAGCATAAAGGGAGATGGAAGATGGGTGATTTTGACCTCCACAAGAATCAAATCTACAACTCTAGTATGGGTCTTGGTGGGTGGGTGAAAAATTAGGGTCCAGGACTCTGGGAGTGGAAGAGGAGGTGAACAGGGGGTCATGATTAGGACGTGGAGGAGCCAGGAGGGAACCATTAGAAGATGCTGGCCACCAGGGGGAGGCTGGTTGTGGAGCAAGATCCCTAGAGCTGAGCAGAGCGGAAGGGTGGGGGTAGGGAGAAGACCCGAGGTGGGAAGAGCTGTGACTGGGACCCAGTCTTCTGGGCAAGGGATCCCCAGGGGGCCTGAAGGGTGGTGATAGAGTCTTTTGGGACCCTGAGAGTGGGTTGGGCAGGACTGGGTGGAGAAAGCATGGGGCACTCCAGGAACATGGGATATGGTTTTTCTGACATTGAGGGGCATGGCCTAGTCTGTCAGTTATGGAAGGACAAGGTGCTGGATGAACAGGGCCTGCAGAAGGGAGGAGGGGATGCGGACCAGGACTAGGCCTGGGAGGGGTCCCCAGGACCCCCAGTGACGGGGTAGATGGACAGTTCTTTGGAAACTGATGACTTGGCTGGTCTGTGAGGCTGGGAGGCCCTGGGAGATGCAGGCTGGGATCAGGACAGTTTGGGGAACGAAGGGGGCAGGGGATTCCCCAGAGGGTCCGAGGTGTGTTGATGGGGCCTCTTTATTTATTTATTTATTTGTCTTTTGTCTTTTTTCCGTGTCCGGCAACGGATCGCAACCCTCAGTGTTGTCCCCGTACCGGACCGGGGACCAGCAACGGGATTGCAACCCTCGGTGTTGCTCCCGCGCCTCGCTCAGCCAGTGAGCGGGAACCGGTCTGTATGTGGGATCCGAACCCTCGGGTGGGAGCGCCGCCGCGCTTCCCAAGCGGCGCGCTATCCAGTGCGCCACTGGGCCGGCCCAATGGGGCCTCTTTAGATTTGGCAGAAAGAGGGTCTGGTCTGCTCTGGCAGTAGGGAAGGAAGGGGGGAGCGTCCTGGCGGCCTGAGTGGAGGGGCCAGGTCTCGGCTAACTCTGGGGGTAAGTGGGCCATCGCAGGGGACCTGGCGGGCTCGAGAGGCCTGGAGAGCGGTGAGGGTAGAAGGGGCGGGCCTCCCTAAACCCTGACTGAGTGGCCCGGGGCGGGAAGGGCGGTCCCCGGGCGCGCAGGACGAGGGGCGGGGCTCACCGGGCAGCAGGTCGGGCTCGCCGCCGCGGTGCACCAGCAGGCTGAGCTGCAGCACGAGCTGCGGCGCGCTGCGCAGGAAGGTCTCCAGCAGGCGCAGCATGCTCACGTCGGCGCTCTCGAACAGCATCCGCCAGTAGTAGTGGCGCCGCAGCCTCTCCCCGCGCCAGCGGCTCTGCAGCCCCAGGTACAGGGCGCGCAGATACCTGCGGGAGGGACGCGGTGCTTAGACCCCTGCGCACTCGTTCCGCTCGCTCGCCCCATGCCACCCGCCCTGAGCCACCCGGCAAGCGCAGGGGGCGAGTCACTCACTGCTCTGAGCCTGTTTCCTCAGCTGTAAAAGGGGCGTATTGAAAGAATCACCTTATGGGGCTGTCGTTGGGGAGCCTTGAATGGGCTCATTAGCTTAAGGTACTGGCACACGGTAGGCACTTCACGCAGCGTTATCACCGCCATCTCTCCTAGAACGTGTTGGGGCCTGCTTTCTATGCGGGGTTACTGGCACCTGAGAGTTCCCTGAGCTTACAATAGCCTTATTATCATCCCCATTTATAGATGAGGAAATTGAAACCCAGAGAGGTATGTCCTATATCCAAGGTTACACAGCTAGGAAGCAGTGGAACCAGGATTCAAACCCAGTCAGTCTGGCCTCAGGCCACAGTCTGTTAGGCTAACCGAACATAGGTTCCTTCAGGGAGAGTCCTGGTGCCAGCCCCAGTTCTGTTGCCACCAGCAGCTTCCTGGCCTGTTCCCCAACCTCACCTCTGAGTGTCCCCTTCTCACCACAGGGCATAAGGAAGCTGATCGTAGACACTTTCCCCTGGCATTTGAGATGTGGCTGCTCCCTTTGGTGCCACTTCTCCCCCAAAATTTCATGGCTCCAGCCTCTTTCCACAGGTCACAGATTCCAGAGCTCTCAATGTCCTCCCTCACTGCTGAGCTTTTGCACCTACTGTTCCTTCTGCCTGGAACGCTCTGCCCTGTCCCCCAGTCTCAAACCTGGATAACTCTTGCTTTTCTCCCAAGGCTCAGCTTTTAAACATGACTTCTTCCAGAAAACTTCTGCTGACCACTTTCCACCTGGGGTAGGGACCTCTTCCAGGCTTCCATCTAACCCAGTACTTGTTACAACCAGTGTAACTGCCTGGTTATGCATGCATCTCTCCCAGACTGTGAACACTCCAAGAATGACTAGGTCAGCTCACTAACTGACACACCTTCAGTTCAGTTCTTAGCACACAGTAGATGCTTAATCCACGTGGGCTGAATGAATAAATGAATGCATGCATGATTGCAAGTTTGTTGAATTGAATGGGACTCTGGTAACCCTGTAAGGAGTATGGGAGGAATTCTAAAAAGTCCTGAGTTCAATTCCTGACTTTGCTCCTAATTTACTGTGTGAGCAAGACCCTCTTTGCACCCTAGTTAATCTCTCCAAAGTGGCTGTGAGGATTAAATGGATGGAAAGATACTTTGCACACTGTAAAATGCAGTGCTCGTGTGGGATGAGAAGGGACCTTGTCAACACAGATCTCTGGGTCTGATTTCTCCTCTGCCCTGGTTCCTTGCCCTGGCTGTTACAGCCACAGACTCTGCCCCTCCTCAGCCCTCCAAACTTTCTGATTCATGGGGCAGGCATGCCCTTTGCTGAAACCATAATACTCCCCACCCCTCCCCATTCTCCCAGGAAACCAGTGGGGAATCCCAATACAGATTCAGTGACCCTATTGCCTGAATCCAAAATTGGGGAACCAGGGATTTGGAAATCTACTCCCAGATATGAAGTGCTGGTATTTCTGGGACATTGTTTGGGAACCAGGGGACCAACTCTATTCACTGTGTGCTGCCAGCCCAAGGGAGAAACTGCAGTGCTCCCTGGAATTTGGGACCAGCTGATACCCAGAGTTTTGCCAAATAAACATCCTTGTCTTAGCAGCTGTGTGGCCCTCTCTGGGCCTCAGTTTCTCCATCTGCCAATGAGAGGGATGGGCTTGATGACTGGAGAGTCTTTCAGAGCTAATATTCTTAAACCCAAACTGCCCCCCATATGTGGCCAGGAACATTCCATTTAAGGCCCTCCTCCCCATCCTCTGCACACCAATTGATGGTGTAGACATACCCTCAATATGACACATGACAGGATTAGCAGCCAGGATGGGGAAGGGGGCTGTTCCCTCAGAAGCTAACTTGGGAATGGCAAAGGCCCTTCAGTCCAACTCACCCATCCACTGCTGGAATCCCCTCAGCAGTTTCCAGCCCAGTGTGTTGTCAACCACTAATCACACTCTTCCCATGACAGGGAGTCCCTACCTCCTGAGGCAGGGCCCTCAGCTTCAGAGCATCTCCAGGGCTGGATTGTGTTTCTTCTAAGAAGAGCAGAAATTCATCTTCCTGTATCTTCCATTCTCAGGGCTCCTGCCTATGCCCCACATAGGGACCCCTGCAGCCAGGATCATTCACTCTTGTAGTAAGTGTATTTTGACCACTCACTCTGTGCCAGGCTTTGTGCCCTTTTGTAGCTCACAGTCCCATGAGAGAGACAAGATAAAAATAGATGCTACTGGATGCTTTGGAACCCAGAGAAGAGATGGGTAGCTTTACCTGGGGGAGGGGGCCAGTGAAGTCTTCCTTCAGGAAGAAACAGCTGATCTTAATTTTAAAGCATTGGTTTGAAGGCACACAAGAGGTGGAAGGGCATTCTAGGTGGAAGAACCAGCTGATGCAAAAGCACAGAGGCCTGAGACGACATGGCCTTTTAGGGAAGTGGACAATGGTTTGCCCGGCCTGGACAGGAGAATTTTAATGGGCAGGGACATACAAAGACTAGCCTTGTGAAGGGCATCAAATTCTGGATGGAAGAGTTCAGATTTTACTCTAAATCTGAATTCCATCCAAGAATCAGGGGTGATGTGATCAGCTCGGTAGCTTAGAAAGCTTGCTCTGGAGGCTGGCTTGGAGGAAAGCCAGGAGAGGCTGGGGTTTGGTCCAGGCCTGAAATGACAGGGCTGAACTATGGCAGGGGAGAGAGGTGGGGCAGAGAGCAGAACCGGAGGTGGGCAGAGGCGGGGGGCTAGGGGAGAGACCAAGATGACCCACAGAACTTCTAGGGACTCAGAACACAGGCCACAATTCCCTGCCCCCATGTCCCACCCACCCCCACTCCATTCCTGCGGCTCTAGCTTTGAACAGGAAGGAGAGACCAGCTGGTCTAATGTGAAGGGGACTGGGGAGTTGGGGGAGGGTGACACCCTGGAAGTTTCTCTCAGGCTGGAAGACCATCTGTTTCCGGGCCCGGGTCAGCATGAGGGAGGCCCCGGCCCCTGGCCAGCATCCATCACCACCTGACAGGCTGTCTGTCCTCCCCCCCCATTCCTGCCCCCTTCTCTGCCAGCTCCCAGCTAACCACAGACAAAGGGCTCACATAGCTCAGGGCTGCTGTGGGAAGGAGTGGGGATGGGGAAGGGGAAAAAAGGAGGCCTCTGAATTCCAGGAACGTGGGGTCAGCGGCGAGCGTGGAAAGACCGCAGTGCAGTTGGGGATGAAAGGCCCGGGTTCTGCCTCTCTCTGCCCCTTTTGGCAGCAGGACCAAAACTGTGGCTGTTCCTTCCAGGCAGCACTAAATGCTCGCTGCCAAGGGCCTGTGAGATTTTCATGGGCTTAGGAAAATGTTTGAGGCCTGAAAAAAAATTGGCTCCAAAACACAGGGAAAAAAACTGCAGAATGAAAATTATTAATAAATGTTTAATTAAATGTCTGCAAAACAGAACATGATGTCAGCCAGTCAACTTCAATTTGGCTTTTATCTGGTCATATATAATTTACATTTGATATCTGATGTGGCTGCATTTTAATATGCTTGATCTATGTGGGGCCCACAAAGTTCTTATAACAGTCCTGACCAGGACATGCAACCCAATTTCCCTGGGCCTCAGTTTCCCCTACCCTAAAATGGGGCCGGCACTTGCCATCCTGCTTATGTCATAGCCACTGGGATAAGGATCAGAAAAGCAAGATGGCAATACATTGGGCTTACGGGTTTGCTTCTCAGCCCTGTCCTAGACCTGCTGTGTGGCCTTGGGTAGTCTCTCTGTTTCTCTGAGCCTTATTTTCTTCCGTGTTGTGAGCATTAAATGAGGTGGTGGGTTTGAAAACAATTTATAAACTGTAGAGGAATGTGCACATAGAGAGGGGGGAGCATACACTGGGTGGAGGCTTCTGGCTTCTCCTGAAAAACCGAGCAACTTCTCTTGAAACCTCCTCTAGGAAGCCCACCCTATTCCACATCCCACTCTATTTGAAAAGGATGAAAGAACCTGATCTTTACCACAAATGGGACTAATACCCCCACAGAGAAGGACATCTCAGAGAAAGGAATCCAGACTTGGGGATAAGAGGTATACATCTGCCTTTCTCCAAATGCATCCTCAGTGTCCATCTCTCCAATGCCACCACCTGGTGCAGGCCACCATCATCTCTTGCCTGGACAAACACATCAGACTTCTCTGTGGGCTCCTTGCATCCACTCCTGCCCCCAACTCCCACAGTCCATTCTCCACATGGCAACCAGCAAGATATTTTTAAAACCTGTCAGATCATGTCATTCCCCTTGGCAAAACCTTCTAAGGGCCTCCCATCACACTTGGATTAAAACCCAAGCTTCTCCCCTTGTCTTGCCAGCTCTAAACCATCTGGCCCTGCCTGTTTCTCTCACCTCAGCTGAAACCACTGTCCCGTTGGATCCCCACACTCCAGATGCACTAGTGGTTCCTCGAACCCAGCCAAACTAGTTCCTGACCCAGGACCTTTACAGTTGCTGCTTGCTCTGCCTGGAACACCCTTCCCCAGATCCTCCCTGGCCACCCATCCCACATTGGCACTTCCACCCTCGACAAATCACCAGTCTATCACAGCACCCTGTCTTATTTTCTTCTTAACATATACTGTTAAAATAACCTTATTTAATTTTCTATGCATTTATTTTCTATTCTACTACTGTGGCTCCATGAGGGCAGGGACCTTTTCTGTCTTGGTCATCACTGTGTTGCCAGCATCAGTGCATGTAGTAGACACTCAATAAATATTTGTTGAGAGCCGGCCTGTGGCTCACTCGGGAGAGTGCGGTGCTGATAACACCAAGGCCACAGGTTCGGATCCCACATAGGGATGCCGGTTGGCTCACTTGGGAGAGCGTGGTGCTGACAACACC